TGCCATGTGATCTGCAATATATTTTTTTTTTCATAACATGTGAATATATTATTACCAAATGGAACTTTGAGTTTGAAGGCCAAATCGAAACATCTGGATCTGGAACAAGTTTCCAGGTCCAAGGAGCTACTAATGCTCCTCAGTTAGCTGCAAAGGCCTCCTGGAGCGAGTTGGTTCACATGTTATAAAAAGGACTCCTTTTGCCCTTGAATCGGGGGAGATGTGTGTGGAAATACCAAATGCTGTTATCCAACGCAATCTCCAACGATGGGATTTTGCCTTCTTATGGAGCTCTTCACGCCATCTTCAATGGGATTTGGAGCAATAGGCTACGGGATATAACAGTATCTAAACTTGGTCCAAAGACAGTTCTGATTCGTGTTCCTTGTCCTGCAACAAGAGACGTATTCTGAGTCAAGCTCTATGGCATATCGAGGGGCATCAGTAGATCCCTGGACCTGGGAACTTGTTCCAGATCTAGATGTTTCGATTTGGCCTTCAGAAAGTGGAGATAATTAGTTGCAATATTTCGTTGCAACATTCTTGGAGATAATTAGTGGAGATGTGATCTACAATATTTCGTTGCAACATTCTTTATATATATATAAATGAGATAATTAGGATGTCAAATCTTATATAATAGAATATTATATTGAGTTGTTTGATATGACATCACAAGATAAATATATACAGCGTTTAACATTAACATAATGCTAACACCGACATAATGTAAACTTTCATAATACATAATGAAGAATATATATCTAGAGATTTCTTCCATTTATGCTTCACGAGCTTCACTTCATAGACGGGCTTTAATGCCCCACAACACTTGGTCCGCAAGGTACACGTCGTCTTGCTTCCCAAGTTATCTCCAATACTCCCCCGCACGACAAACGTGGTACGCGAAATCATCAAGCGAAACACGTATGTCATGGACAACTTGTCGAGGACGGACAAAACAAGTCAACAGACTCCTCCGGGTGTAAACTTCAATCTTCAAAATAAGGATGAAACTTCAGCTCGTCTTTGGTCTTGATAAACAAAGGAAAAAACATCCCATGGGTGCAACTTGCAACTCCACAAATATTTGTCCTTCACTCGGATAGTCCACAAATCGGACTTTAGAAAGAAAAAATTATTGACCTAAAGAACATGAGCGTTCTAACTAGAACTCCCTAAAACCACAACCAAACTCCCCCGTAATAGGAGAACCATAACAAAAGGAATTAGAAAATTCTAATAAAAGAAATCCCAATTTTTGAGGAATTCTAAAAATCAAAAATAAAACTCCCGTGTAAAACAAAACCCGAAGAATCATAAACTCAAAAAAAAAAACTCCCGATTGAATCTTGT